CCTGCGTGGGAGAGAGATGGCCGCCACTCGTGGGGCCTGGGAATGTAAAACACTTCCACCCAAAACCCACCAGTCATAACACCATACGTCGAGCAGGAACCCAATTTTATCTTGTATGACCAAATACCAGGATTGACCGTCCTGCCGGTAACGACGGACACCATTATCCCGAAACTTCAGATCTGTAAGGACCAGACAGGACCAGGTGTGAGTGATCATGTGGGAGATGAAACAGCGAATCTTGAGTTCTTGGTTAATGAGGCCGTGGGGGGCGCCTAAACCTCGAGTATTCCATGTTGCTAACTTAAAGCGACGGGCACGTTTTTGGAAGAGACTAAACTTCCGCTGGGACTGTATATGAATATGACGTGCGCGCCGTTGGCGACGAAGTTGCAACTGCTGTCGGACCGCACGGAGTTTCCGTTTGAGGTGTCGTGCATGTCTGTTTGTGCGCGCCTTAGCTACCCGGAGCATGGTTTGGAGTCTAAATTCCAGAGACGCACGTCGTAGGCGCAGGCTACGATATCGAGGCATGGACAGACCAAATGGCTGGAGAGAGGCGTAGGATCAACGACCGTGATACAGTCAACAAGTGCGGGGCAGACCAAAGATGGAAAGAAACCAAGGTCCGGGAGATCTGGACCGTGTCCAGACCACTCTGTTGCTGGTGCACAGGCACCGTGGGGTCAGACCGCCGAAAAGAGACCGCGTAGGACAGACCAGGTAGCTAACCGCGGACCAGACGGGTAGCATCCCGTCCAACAGCCCCATAGCCCCCAGGGAGAGCACGACACGCCAGAGGCGTACGCGCCCAACCGCCCCGGGAAGTTTGGGCCGAAAGACGATAACGGGAGTGACAATTCCGCTCCGTGAGAGACTGGGAGAAAAGACTGGTGAAGGACAAAAGCGACCGAAATACCAACGGAGACACCCACCCCACTCGGGGGGCAGGGGGGATTAGCCTACGCAAGGGGGTGTACGCGCACTCTGGGGTTGAACTGCAACGAAAACATTCAAAAGAGATATTCACATGCGTCGAGTGCGTATGTGCCTGTGTATGTTGTGACCGACGTAGAAAACCAGGTAGTGTTCCGCCAGATTGAAAACGGACTCCATACGGCCGACTCTTGGTCTTCACGTTAAGTGCAGCCGAGGTGTACTCTGCGGCCCAGCGTAGTTGCCCGCCGGACGCCCGCGAGGAGGGCGCTGCCACTCGTAGTCTGGAAGCGTCACTCTTTCACACTTGATGTAGCCCTTGAGCTCGCTGACAGCATCCACGTACGCCTTTGCGCTTGCAAAGGGCTGTCCACCCAGGATCTCAATAGTCTTCACCAGGCTCCCAGCGGTATGCTCTGAGGGGTTCGTGCATCCGATCAGCGCCGCCCTGCGAGCCACCAGCAACAGCTTCTGGTGCAAATGTTCCTTTGACTTCAAAATCACCATCTCGCCAGCCAGCAGGAAAGGGCAGATGTCCAGCAACTTCTGCAAGCTCTTCCGCGCCATTGGCGGCGAGATGCTGAAAGATGCCAACCTGTCTGATGCCATTTCAACCAATTCACCAATCTGCGTAGCATTGAAACCTCACTTGGCAACAGGCAGGGTTGAACAACAGTGACAACGCGGCTATTTGTAAAACAGTTCAACCATGGGATGTGTGGCCTGAAACACGCATGGAAAAGACTGGACGGGAAGCCTACGAGAAAAATACTCGTAAGCTTCCCGCGCGTTTTTTTCAACGCTGTCAGTGGAAGGGATGGACGCGCATCAGCGGCATCAAAAACAGTAGACATGGCCCACGAGTCGAACATCGTTGGCAGTTGATAGGTGCAGACTAGTATTTAGGAGGTTCTTCAGGCCACCCCTATCACTTCAATCATTCATAGAATTTCAGGCCAACACCTGGCTTTGAACTGAAAGTTGTGCTCGAGAAGTCATGAGGTACTCACAGAGTCAAGTTTGTGATATTCAAGAGGTTTGAACGAATCACCCTCAGTTCGTAGCAAACACAAAACCATAAGAAAAAAGAACTATATCGCATGTACTCCGAGCAACCAGACTCGACCATAGCTGCCGAGAATTGTTCGACGTCACCGGCTGACACTGTCAAGCTTTGCAATTGGGTCTTGATGGAAGAGCAATGGAATTCTTCCCCTCTTCATCTGGCAGGGTCCCAAGCATTTTGGTCATTGCTGCCACCTGCGAAACGATTTGTTCCATGTCAGGCCACCGATCTGGACAGGGCTGTCTTCAAGTCAGAAGCACTCAACCCAAGCAAACAAGGAGACATGTGAAGGCAAATGGTGCTCTTCTCAGCAAGAAGCTCAACTACAACGTCAGCCCAATTACACCCAGCAAGCAAGACTGAAAAATCCAACGTTTCACAAGCCCAAGACTGTCAAACGCCAAGCAGTTCTTTGCGCACTAAAACGCTAGAGATTAAACAGCCATCAAGCTACGTTGCCTAGAACAAGCCTCAATTTATGGCGCGCGCGCTCGGCATGATTGAACTGAGTTTTGCAAGGCACTGCAAGTCAAAATCTATTGTCTCCGTCCAGTGCTGTTGGGGGACGGAACAAAAGGATGTCTTTCCTAAGCTCAAGTGCTACTGGAATGCTACTGCTGCCCCAAGATCAACGTTGTTGACTCTGAGCCGCTGTCCTCACTATCTGTGAGCATGTCAACGCCCGAGGAATCTGAAGACAAAGGTTGGATGTCCTCCAGCCATTGTGGTACGTGAGGCAGCGCACCACTAGGTCGCCATAGAAGCTGTCTCTTGCCGACATCAATCGCCGTAATCTTTTGGTTCCAAGTGCAGAGTCCCATCCGCGCGGCGTGCGCGCGAAAGTCATCCAGCATGCTGCCAACAGTGATCCGGTCTGCGGTGAAGTAGCAAATGGCTCGGTACATTCTGTCTCCACTGAAGGGGGCGTCGAAGCAAACCAGCTGCCTGAGCCCGTCGTCCGAAGGGATCAGGCGCAGCTTGACAATCAAATCCCCCTGAATGGGACGAATCAGCTTGTCCATCCATTTGGTCTTCCCATGATGCGTTCATTTGCTTCCACAAAGGCAAACTTGTAGGAGCTTTCACTGGAGACGGAGGAGCAGTAGAACCAAATCGGAGACCGCTCTTCCACCTTCCTGTTCTGGCCCTCCCACACTGCGTGCCATTTGCTGGCACGTGGAAGTCCATCGCCCATCTTCCAAGTCTGCGGAACATCAACCCTCTCGTGCGCGATCGGCATGAGGCACAAGCAATCAAGTCTCAACAAACATGCTTGGGCAAAAGGGCTCTGCGTGCGAGATGCACTCCCTGCATGCGTTTGTCAATGATGAATGTGACACCGCTGAAGAGCAGCAAGTATCAAGGACTGAGAACGTGTTTCAAACATGTTGTGATAGACTGATGGCAGGGCCCCTGTCCAACCCAAAAGGAAAATTGCTAGACTGAACTGTTTCCATCTTAGCCTTCATGAACTCTTCAAGAACTGCTTCGCTTCGTTGGGATGCTCCATCTTAGCTACAAAGCATCTTAGCTACAAAACATGCAATCTTCATGAACTCTTCAAGCTTCGCTTCGCTTCATTGGGATGATCCATCTTGGCTGCAAAGCAGTTTAGCTACACGGCATGCAGTCTTCATGAACTCTTCAAGCTTCGCTTCGCTTCATTAGGGATGTTCCATCTTAGCTACAAAACATGCAATCTTCATGAACTCTTCAAACTTTGCTTCGCTTCGTTGGGGTGTTCCGCTTGCGAACCAACTTTTTCATTCACTGCGTCATTGGTGCACCGTTGTGCAACCTTTCGCAAAGCTCATATCCAAGAACGTGAAGAGGTGTGCACTAGCCTGGGCTACCTGCACAGTCTGCCCAGTGACCATGCTACTACATGGTCTTGCCAACTACCCTTTTGTTGGCTTGTGTCTTCTCAAGTGGCACTAGATGCAAGGGTTCGATCTATGAAAACACATTTTGAGGAAACAACAAACTTTATTTGTGTATTGAAAAACAATATACAAAACACAACAAATTTATCAATCTATAAAGAAGTATGAACAAAACGCAAAAAGTTTATCAATATATAAAACATAGATAAAACGCCAACAGTTTATCAATCTATTAAACAACATGAACAAAGCACAACAAATTTATCGATCTATAAAAAATGAAACACAAAAAATATCAATCTATAAACATAACATTGGCTTATCACCCAAACCGTCAACATGCTCGAACATTGTCCACTAACGCCGTTTAGACATCACAGCTTGCTTGTGCCAAGCATTGCCAAGCACACTTTTCAAGGCTTACCTCCTCTCTACGGAAGTCGTGACCAACGTGGGTCAAACACAATGCATGGCCAGCTGGCGCGTGTAAGTCTGTGTTTTGTGTGGAGCTTGTTGTTTTGTTTTTTGAAAGTGGTGCGTGTCACGTTTGGCTTTGTTGACGAAGAGTTGAGCTAACGGTGAGGTATACCCTACCCAGAGGAGCATATCCTAGGAATCATTCCCACGATGAACCCAAACCAGCTCAATCCCCCCTACCAGCACCATCACCCCCACAACCATCTCAATCAGCGCAAGCTGTCTCAACTCATTTGCTCCCAAAAAGCACCACCAGCGCCAAAGCACACCTTTTCCCCTCACAGTGAACGATCAACGCCAGCGCCATCCCTCATCTTCACCTTCTTCACCTGGCAGTCAAAACTCTCAATCAATCATGATCCTACCATGTGAACATGCTTATCGAGTGCATCATGCCTACCATGTCTACCATGTTTGATTCCTACCGTGCTTGTCAGACGTACCATGCATGTCAATCCTACCATGTGAACATGCCTACCATGCTGACATGCATGCGGTACATGTTTTAAAATATATACATGCATGGCATGTCAATCATGCGGCAGCCACCAACTTCTGGACTGCTTGCGCAATTGAAAACTTCAATCCTGCGCAACGCAACAGCATTAACAAAACACGCACACACAACACACAACAAGTCAATGTCCTGCTGTGTAGCGCAGCAGCGTCGTCAGATGGCTGGTTCGTTTGTGTGTCTTCTTCGCCAAGTTGGCAACTGTTCGCACAAAGTCTTCTTCCATCCAATTGGCTTGAACCACGGGGTTCCGCCCTGTCTGGGCAGCAGTCTCTAGCATGTGAACCTGCATATGAAACTTCGGCCTCACGTTGAACAAGAGGTAGCAACAGAAGCCTTTGTAGCGAATGTGCAAGGACAATAGCAATTTGTTGTGGTAACCCCCAACAACCCTCAGAGCTTCCTTGCTCTCCTCCGAAAGGAGTAGGCCTGAATCTTTTCGTTCCTGGTGCAGCATGCTCATGATATAGTCACCTGTCCAGCATATCATCTTCAAGTCTGAGTCGACATCTTGCTCCTCCAGGAAATCAACGAGGAAACCTAAAATTGTGGCTATGTGCCACGCTTTTCCATGGTAGTGCACATACGAGCCGGTTTTCAAGCCAAGGTTTGACTTTTTCAGGCTCCAAGCGCTGGGAAGTACATTCCTTGTAGAATCCTTCTTCGACCATTCTCGGATCAAGCGCGACGCCGTCACCATCCGCGCAGCAACGTTGCTGCCGGAAAAGACCCGGCTTCGCAAAAGAATGGTCAACACACTCGCGGCAATGTCCCGGCCTGTGCCTAAATGAAATGTGTGCATGATATCAGGAGCTAGAAGCGATATCTTCCATTGGTTCAGATTGGTGACAGTAGGTTTCTCATACCACACTTCATCCTCTGGCCGTGGGTCCGACCTCCATAGTGCTCCTTCTGTGATATCAGTGTATGGCCGTTGCAAATCCTTGGTGCACCTGCAAATATGACATATCTCATTCGAGGATGGGCCAACGCGAGCATTCAACAGTTGCCCAAAGAATTTCCAATCCCCCTTCACACTGGCTACCAAACCTCGAAGGTTCTTTCCTCCAACTGTGCATCCAGCCGTCTCCAATTTATTCATGCTATCAGTGATGACTTTCATAACAGCCTGGAGGGTGCGATTGACTTTTCTGTCCATATAGTAGAATCTTTTCGGGAGCAATGCTATAAGGTACCTGCTAGCGCGGGTGTCTTCATGGATTGTGGAAGTCTCTGCACTCCAATTGATGCACATACAAAGGTCACCATCAAATACCTGGATCTCATCTCCAAATATAGATAGTGGCACAACGTCATCGCCGTGTGGCCTCTGGAGATTGAAATGCCTGGCCAGCATTTCCCAGTAAGCAGGCGTGGCGTGTCCAAGAAGCTCTCTGTGTCCTTCTTTCATGAGTAACGCGACCTCAACTGCCCAGGAACCCAGTTACACACACACACGCACACACACGCGTGTCTCAGGTCAGGGCCATGTCTTCAGGAAGGAGAAACGGCCACTCAACTAGTTCCATGTTTTCGCCATCTTCAGCACTCACTGGTATGTAGTGCCAAGTCAACAAATCCTTGTAGGCGTTGCCAGATTTGACCATGGCCTTGTGAGCTCGAAGGTCCCTCGTGGTGTGCGACCTTGGTACTGTTGATTTTCTCTAGCTTGTCAAAATAGAAGGAACGGGCGTGAGCCCAAGGCCCAAAAACATCTGAACCATATGCGCCACCGATCCTGGCAGCGGCTGCTAGAGTGGAGCCACCGCGACCCACTTCAGCAGCAAGCCTCGCAAGCCAAACTGCGCATAAACGCAAAATGTTTTTTAAACCTAGCAGCCTTTGGTCTAAAGTTTTCCTCCACGCAGCTGTACCTGCATAAACATGTCCAGGCAGACTGCCCACAGGCAACATGTACAAAACGTTCACACTGAAAGTCAAAGACAATGCATTTTTCTGCAAAGTGCGGAGCTGCTGTTCTGACAACCCTGGGGCTTTCAAGGCCCTCTATGGGTTGTGCGTGTACCCATGTATCGTGCTGCTAGCGACATGTTAGCTGCACTAAACCCTAGCTCATGCACACGTGTTCTCACATGTTTCATGGCGAACAGCCGATCGAAGCTCACAGGCCAAGGCTGCCACTCAGGAGTAGCCCCTGCCATGAAACAAAGGAACTTGATAGCATCTCGAAGTTCAACGCAGGCCAGCGCGGCTTCTTTACTTCCTTCAGGACAGCACCAATTTCTGCCCTCTTCATACGACTGTCGCCCACCTCAAGCACAAATGGTTCTGTGTGACACTGGGTACCAGGGTACATGTTCTAGGGCCCAAGCTGCTGTTGTGATTTCACCAAGCAAGGCTGCAAAAGCGGTTTCGTCAGCTGCTGACGGAATCCTGACATATATATATATATATAGAAAAGATACATTATAAATAGCGCACCAAGTAAGAGGCACGCCTGGAAAAAACTCCCTTCAAAGTTTGGACGTGCCGGTTCAAGGCTGTGGTGCCCTCGGAAAACCTGCCATCTCCGTACTCCCCCACATCCAGGAGCAAGGAGTTCAGTGCAGTCAGCTCTTTCTTGACTTCTGCACCTGATCCAGGACAAAAATGCAACGCAAAAAAGTATACATCAATCTGAGCACCAGGCGAGCCAAAGTGATCTTCTCTGCAATGGTTTTCCCAGCCAGAACTGGACCAGAAAGTGGCGCTGCTTTAGCTTTTGGCTTCGCTCCAGCCTTGACTTTTGCACCTGGATCTGTCAGGTGAGCCATGAAAAGCCATGAAAAACCATGAATCGGCGTGAAAAACCGTGAATCAACTTCCTGAACATCAATTCCCTTTAGACAAGGCACGGGGTACTGGAGGTGCTGGAGATGCCGGAGCGGCTGGGGATTGAGCCACTGCCGCCTGCTGCTGGCGCGCCAAGGCCACTGGGTCAGCCACTGACAGCGTCGGAGTCGGGAGCATCATGCCCATTGCAGACATAGCATCTGACCCTCTGATCCCCGCTTGCATGCTCGTGGTGAGCGTTTGCCTTTCTGTCGTTGTTTGCTCAGTTCCCACATTCACCCAAAACCTCTGGCTCTTCTGACAATTCGGCGCATCAGGGTCTGGAACTGCTCCTCTGCGGATGCATCCCAGCTTCTTCTCCCTTAGAGAAAATGCAGCGTATATTATTCAATATGGAAAAATGACACGCCCACACACAAACCAACTTTGCCATGCAGGCTAAGTGCTCACTGAAGCCAGCGGCATTCATTTCATCAAGCGTCATCAACTTTCGCTTGACCTGTAAGCTGTCATCATGTTGCCTCGTAGCCTGAAAGCTAGCCTCGATCGCTTCCAGGCTACCTCGCTCCACAAAAGCCTTAAGTACTTCAAGCTTCTGCGCTTTTGTGCCCTGGAAAAGGCGCGCAACTTCCGGGAATTCGCTGGCTCGCGGACCCTTGGCAACGCGGCTCAGCGTAGCCCACTCTTTTCGGTGAGTAGTTGAAGAAATCTCCATGACATGCGTTCCGGAAGCCATACCTTCTGGCAAGTCAGCGCCTGCTCCCGCATGCCCTTCAGGTGGAGGCGAGGCTGAACGACGAGCAGCTTTGGCCAGCTCGTGTTGCTCCAAAGCTTCATTGACCTTCGCTTCCTGGGCCACCCTCAGAGCTTCCTGGCTTTGCCTGCGCTCATGGGCTTCGGTGGTATTGAGCAATTCAGCAGCTTGAGCTTCCGCTTCCTGTTCGTAGTCAAGAGTGGGCTGATTCTCGAAGTCAGTGGCCAAGAATCGTCATCTCCCTTGGCCTCACACGCGCTGGCAACTTTACATGGCTGGTGCCTTTGCCATGGCCTGACGTGTCATACGTCATGACATGGCATGCTTCGTAAATAGATGTAAATGTCATGGCATGACATGTTTTGTAAATAGATGTAACATGTCATGACATGGCATGTGTTGCACGGAACATGAACTGGTAAACACAGTACATGCATGCCATGCATAAGTTATCAGTACATGCCATGAATAAGTACATGCCATGAACATGTATCATGTACATGTACCATGTATCATGACATGGCCCGGCCTCCTCCTCATCGCTCAGCACAAGGACCTTGGAGCCGCCCTTCAACAACTGCTGTCCCTGAAGTAAGGTGGCAATCGACCTCAGTACAGGTATCTCTCCCTCTCTCTCCCTCTCTCCCTCTCTCTGTGTTTCTCTCTCTCTCTCTCTCTCTCTCTCAGACTCTCTACACACACACACACACACACCTGAGGCCCAAGCCTTTGAGATCCCAATCTCTCCACAGGAGCCTTCAAGTCCCCAGCAGGCGGCGTCTCCAAAGGGGGGTCAAGCTGAGCAGCCGGAATTTCCTCCCAGCGTGTGGACTGGGAAAGCGGCTCAACCGCCTCGACCACTTCCACATCCTCGTCTCTGAACGTGTCCTCCAAGTCTGGTGGGCAGGATGGAGCAGGTGCGGGTGGTTCAGGTGGATGATGATCAGGCTCCTTGCTCACTCGAAGTTTCTTGTTCTGCGGGGCGGGGTCCATGTCATCCAAAATCTCTTTGGCGTCGTGCGCAGAGATACCCAAGGCTTTGGCAAGTTGGTTGGCCGAAGGCTTACGGCCATGGTTTTCCTCCCGGAGTGCCATCAGCAGATCAACGAATTGGTCTGCCCCAGAAGCCATTGGCGAGCAGCTTCAAGCTTCAGGTAGCCTTTGTATGCGTCCAAACTCTACAAACTTCTGGGCCAGGCATGAAACACATGAGTGCCCTTGTCTCCAAACGATGGAAAAAAATTCACGGGGCATCATGCCGATTCACGGGTACATCACGCCGAAATCACGGGTTTTTCACGGCCTATGTTTTGGAAGGATGTAGTTGCGCGTTTGCTCTCCCACAGGGCTGTTTTCCCCTTGCAAGCCATCAAGCGTCCAAACCCCATGAAGCCTATACAACTCACGCCCGCTCTCTTACAACGAGCTTGGCATATACAGTGTCCAAAACATCCTTCCATGCCTCTGGCGGTTGGAAAGCTCGGCTTTGCCTCACGTACCTAATCGCATCCATGCAACCAGCCTCAGTTTGCCAAGCACACATCAAACAGCTACGCGTCAACAGAAACTTATAAGCTTCCAACATCCTTCCAAAGATCCACTTCTGCCCAGAGAATCCCCTGTCAAAGATTCGAGAGGCAACACCAACACACCTGCAGCAAAACCATGAGTTAAACAAACCCAACCTCTAACAGGGCCACGTCAGATGTTTCATAGATCTTCTCATCGCCAACCAAAGGAGCTTTGGGGAGCACCTGGTACAAAGGCACGCTCATGAACCATTGTAACAGACCAGCCCCTTAAGATCCCCACAGGCCAGTCTCCAGCGTCCATCTCACTCTTGAGTTGGGCCAGGTGCCAGCCAAAGCGGGGGTGATAGGCCCTCAGCAGGAGAACCATGGCTGCACTAAGAACCATTGTATATGTCACAACCATGGACGTGTTTAATCGTGCCAAAGATTCTGAGACTCTTTCATCTCAGCTTTGTTTCCACTCCATGAATAGGTGCCATCTGCACGCTTCTGTTTTTTACCAAAGATGGCCCACGCAACTCCGCCAATCTTTCAGCGCTCAAATATCCGGCTGCAGCTTGAAGGCGAGAAAGCAAATGATAGTCTTGCGAATACAAGACGTGCTGCTTCGGAGTGGAGCGTGTTGCGTCTTGACAATAAGCTCCGCCCCAGATCGATGCCTGGTACAATCCAAGCTCCCTCAAGAGCACCTCCAGCCGAGGGTGTTCACAAGCTAAAGATCCCTGAGGCTGCTCAATCAATACCCTGCAACCCTGGCTCAGAGAGTAGTAGGTAAGAAGGGCAACCACCGCCGCTAAGCGGTTGCCAAGATGGACAAAGGTAAAGCCTTCATTGCCACGTGGAAAGACAATGGAGCGTGCGTGGCTTCCTCTTGCCCTGAGCGCAAACAATCCCAAGCACAGTTCACCTGAAGAAGAACCATCATACATACTAAACCTTTGAACACGTGGTACCAAGTAGCGGAGCACAGAATGAACGGCATTCCAACCCCAACAGGTGCAGAGCGCCCACCCTGCTTCTTCGAATGCAGTTCAAGCAGAGCCTCAACATAGCAGGTCTAAGTCTTCACAAGTACACCTATGCACACCAAGGTCCCAGCAGCAGCCCTGCAGGCTTGAGGAAGTCCATGCTCTTGTCCAAGTCAATGTCCAAAGCCACTCCACAGAAGCCCGCCTCAGCAGTCACACTCAAGTGCAAATGAAGACAACGACTGACACAAAGCGTCCAAGCCCCAAACGTTTTTGAATTGAGCGCTGACATGTCCTTGTCCACTAAAGAACTCAACCCAGTCATATGCCTGAAGCTCAACACAGATGAACATGACAGCGTCAGAGGCACAAGCAAAGATCCAAGGCAAAGACTCTATCAGAGGACAAATCTTGGAGAAATGTCACATGAAGGACCAGGAGAATTAAAATCTCCGGGCACCTCCAGCTCAGCATCTCAGCAACAACCATCTTACTTACAAAACAAAGCCTTGAACAAAAATGCTCTGTCAAGCACATGCAATGTTGCAGCTACAAGCACTCATGTCCCACGCATGCATGACACTACTATGCAGTCAAAGGAAAGGCGATTCCTTACATGAGCACTTTTCCCACTCAGCTCGTGGTCAGGCACCACAGGCGTTCCAATTACAGAGAGGCGCAGGGCTCAGCAGAACCGCCTCCTCTTAAGTTCACTCGGGGAGAGGCCGGAAAGGAGGTTGGAGCGATCTTCGCTCAACATCCACATCTTGTTTGCTTCATGGTACTTATGCCCCTTCTTTTTGCAGTCTGCCAAGAACTGCTGTCTGATCTCAGCAAACTTTTTTGCCACATACACAGGCTCAGCCACCTTGTCACACTTTTCCTCTAGCAGGGGAGCCTCGCCGGGCAAAGGCTGCTTTTGGGAGTGCTGGGGTTCACAGGAAGCGTCCACCAAACACAACTCTCTTTCCATTTCCTCATCAGCTATCACCTTCTTGGCCTTCTTTGAAATCTTTTTAGGCTTTGCCTTGGCCTTGGCCTTTTTTTGCTTGGACGACTTGCCGCCATCAGGCTTCACATCCTCATTTTTCACGTCCTCATCTCCTGCCGTAGTGGCAAAAGGAGTCACCGAGACCACTTGTTTCTCCAAAGCTTTAAGTACAAAACCTGGCAGTGGCCTGCTTGAGCGGGCAGGCGTAGCAACAGGTTTCTCTGACACCACTGCGTTGTCTTTCTCCTTTGCAGCTGCATTTGAAACCAAGCGCTTCTGCGCCAGACCGCTGAGCTTAGCCCAGTCAAAGTCCAAGTGCTTAGGCGGCGGCGAAACAAGCTGCTCCATGGTATCAGGACTCGCAGCCTTCTGAGGCTCCACAGGCTCCATGTCGGCCTCATCTGTCTGACCTCTTTTGGCCCTCGGAGGTGGTATGATCTCTGCGCGTTGAAGTCTGCGCTTCAACTCCTTCAAGCTATTGCTCTTGGCATTCTCAGGTGTCTCGCAGTAAATACGCCTGAAGCGCTGGACAAGCTTCCTAGACGCCATAGCCATTTTTGCTGCCCAGGGGGCAAGAGCTTCTTCAGTGACGCCTACTGGAACCAGGTTCTTCTGTCGGTAGAAGCTCTTGATGCCCTGGCTCAACAACTCCTCCGATAGCTTTCGCCATGGCGTCACCTTCATGATCGCAAAAATGACCTGCCCACATAATTACTCAAAGCAAGGGTAGAAACCAGATTGAAAAACACACACTTTGCGCAATCAAGGAACTTCTGTGTTCTTTTCACAATCCTTCAGTGTGCAAGGGTTCTTGCCAAACAGCTCCGCCGAGTGTGCAGTGACAAAGGTAAACCCCACCTACACCGTGAACACATGAATCAGCGTGAAAAGCCGTGAAACAGCGTGAAAAACCATGAAATAGCGTAATCTTGCACTCCCTGCACAGTCCAAATGTATGTATATATACACGCCTCTGACAGCCGGGCTTCTTGCGCAAAAGCTGCAGCATATTTATCTGCTAGGTCAGGGTCTTCGCTCAAAGACTTCAGCAGCTTCGGCATGATGGCAAGCTCTCACAAGCCCAAACAGCTAAAGAAACAAGAGTTGACAAATAGAGGTAATACATACCCTTCAAAAAAAGCTGCGCAGCACACAGGTCACTGGTTGAAGGAGCGCTCACAGAGTCCCACCAGCAATGCTTGTAGAACTTCACCTGCCATGGGATCACACACACAAGCTCCATGAATAAGGTGGACCTTTGCTGAGCTCCAGACAGCATGTCATGGGTTCACCTACTGCCATGAACAAGTTGACGAGTAAAGTTTACTAATGATGGTTTTACGTACACGCATTCATGTTTCCATGGAAGCCATGAACATGTTCTTTACATGTAACATGTTTACATGTCACATGGTTCCGTGTGACATGTTTACATGAAACATGTTAGCTATAGAGTGTTTACATGTAACATGTTTACATGCATGGTTCCATGTTCCCATGTCTACAGGTTTATACTCTACATGTACATGTTGGCATGCGTGCATGTACTGAGGCCCGGACCATCTAAGCTTCGCGCCCACCTGAAGCAAGACAAGACAAGCGTTGCAAATCGCAAAGCAACACCAAGCTCAACACAGACGGCCATAATGAACACCTCGGCCAGAAAAACGTGAACCGGCATGAAAACCCGTGAATCAGCGTGAAAACCCATGAACCAACATGATCCCCCATGAACATGACATGCGCACGCATGCATGCTTTGGCCCCGTGAACTAACACGATCATGCGCGTGTCTTTTTTTACAGCGGCGCTCTGCCAGTCACTTGCGCCCACAACCTTAGCTGAAGCTGCAGTGCGCTCTATATAGAAGACAACGCAAGCGTATCTAAGCCATGCACCCAGGATGGGTGGACATCAGCCCACCTGGCGCTAGCTGCGAGCAAGGTCACACACTTAGCACGCAGCCTGTCTCCCTTGGCCTTCTCCATCACCTTCTGATCGGCGGCGGTGGTGGGTTCACAGCAAAGTATCCAGTCGTGAACCTGCAAGCAAGTGACACTGCCGCAGTGCATGTTCATGCTCTCTCAAGCCAGCCTCCAAACCCAAGGCAAGGCTGGATCTTGCTCTTCCTCATCCTCAATCTCAATCGGCCCAGAAGGCCAAGGAGCTTGAGCAGCTGCTTTTGGAGCTGGGGCTGGTTTGGCAGCTGCCTGTGTCACAGGCTTCAGAGGTGCTGGTCTGCTCTTGGGCTTCCTGTTCGTGACAGCTCGGAGCCATTCTACCTGGAGGCAAACTTACAAACAAAATTGGCAGGCCCAATCGAAAAAGGGCCTTCTTCTTGTCACCATCAGGGACGCACAGCGTCTTTATGTAGGTGGTGCTCCAACGAAGTATTTCAGGGTTCGACTTGCTGCTACTGGCCTCGCGTCCAGCATGCCCAGCACACAGGCAAAGCCTGCAAATTACCTTGCCTGCGCCTTTGCCCTTGCTCCCTTCTTCTCTGCCTCCAGAGAAGAGATCATAACTGTCAAAGCCAAAGCACACACGACAGTCCCAAGCCTTTAAGTCCTGCTGCTCAGGATCTTTTACTGTCTTCTTGTGGTTCACCATCGGACCAAAACAGCTGCAGAAAGAACCAACATGTAACATGTTTCACATGTGGTGCGTGAGCCGCCCATGCTACACTCAAAGCAAATGAAAGGCAATTGAGGCCAGCACAAGTCTGCTCGCCCGCAATCTGCTACAAATCTCCCCTTTAAGAGCCCAAGCAGCTCTATATGCACCAAACTGATACAAACCCTATTTCACTACAAATCTTGTTTAAAGCACTTGCCAACACATAACCAAAACAAAACATCAGGGGTGATTCTCACGATGGAGGGGCGATTCCCACGAAATGATCAAATCATCATGATCACCCCCCTATCTCCCATCTGGGGTTTATTCCTACGATTCGCTCCTCTGGGTAAGGTCGCCAGCCACCCCTGTGCAGCCGCCTAGAGTCCACCGCTCCCACTCGATCCGGCGCCGTCAGGTTGGTCTGGGTCTCGAAATCTGTCCTGGATGACTTGTTTTCAGAAGTGTGCGCAGTTTTGGGCGATGTGTTTTGCGCTTGCTGTCAATGATTGCAGCGTGACAGCAACCGTGCCTGTGCCAACTTCAATGTAGCTTCTGCCAAGCTTTCCACCTTGGCACGCTCCCCAATGAATCCAAGCCCAAGCAAACAAGCTCAAGGCCAATGAACAAGCTCAAGGTGCTTCCAGTGTTCCCATCCAACGCAAGCAAGTCACTGCCGACCAAGCGCGTCCCTGCCAGCCAGATCCCCTGCTCCGTGGCTTCGACCGGCCAGCGCCAACCCCTGGATGAAATGTGTTTCAGTGATCATGCGACCAAGTGCACAAGTACAAAGTCATGCAACTAAGTTCATAACTTTCCAGATCACTCAAGTTTGCGCGGGCCCTCGCGCAGCCAAGTCACGGCATCAAATTTCCGTCGTTGTTGAAGAGCCGCTGCCCCAAATACCAGCCGCGCTGGGATGGATCTCGCACCAACGCTGCCGACCAGGGCTGCAATGCCTGACACGTAAGTCACGAGAAACTGCGCGCGAGAAAACCCTGCACGCGTAGCAAAGTCGTTGGACAGGAACTGCTTCTGAGTCCAAAGGTCATCAAGCGCGCGTCAAACACAACCACGCCTTTGGAACCTCCGCAGCTGCTGGAGGTTGGGGTGGGAAGGTCTCCTGGCCTGGAGCTTTAGGAGGTGCCGGCGGTGGGGGTGGAGGAAGACGGTGTGGCGCCGCCGGATCCTTTGGCGGTGTTCGCGGACCCGGCACCGATGGTGGCGGGGGAGGTGGCGGCGGAGGTGGTAAAGTCCGCTTGGGTACTGGAGGTGGAGGCGGTAAAGGCGCCCTGTTCGAAGGTGCGCTGGTCATGGGCATCGCCTGGAATGCGCAACGCACAGATCGATTTCAGAGCCAACACACAACTAATCAAACTGACAACTTTCCAGACTGGTTGTAGCGCACCAAATTCGGAGCCTCCAACAATAAGGTCGGTTTATCTTCAACATTATTGACCCATTTCATGTCACGAGACAAGCCTTCTTCTTGTGAGCTTTGGCTGAACCTCCAAGCTCCTGGATTCAAGAGACATGTGAGGACATGTCAAAACAATTGCCATTTAGAACCGCTTGGCAATTTGCAGGATCAGATGCCAACATCAAATGGATTCAAACAGTTTGTCTGTCAAGTTCAAGCCTCCACGGGCCCACCATCAGGTCGGGCTGCGCTGGAAGCTTCACCGGCATTGTCCTCCTGATAGAAAGGTTTACATGGTCACAAACACCTTCCACCAGCGCAACAAGCCAGTAAAGTGATTCACCCTCCAAAAACAAGCGTGCGATTGCATTTCTCGGTCACCTCGTCATCTGTGATAGGCTCCCTTGACCGCTTCCTGCCCTGACCAGCATGCCGCAGTGACACCATGCACAGTGACCAGCATGACCACAGCAAAGTTTACACCAACTCTCAGTCAACTCTCAAGTTCATCAACTCTCAAGTGCCAAGTGCCTTGCTGACCTCGAAGGTCAAGGAGGAATCCACCCATTCGCTCATGTCGTTCAAGTACTGCCATCCTCCCAGCAGAACGAATTCGACGTGTTTTGAACTGCATTTGCGAAGCCACTCTTGATTAGGTTTACCCCCCCTATAGGATTGTGACCCGGCTTTCTCGAGGCGGGCCTTTGGAGTCACTGTCGTTCCTCCACACCAAAAGGTTGCACCAAGCACGCAACAAGCAAGCTACAACAACATTTACTCAATTCCCGCGCACCGGCTTCAACATAATTTGAGGTTTCCAGTCCTGCCTGATGGCATTTGGATGCGCCACCCTTTGCGGCGGATCCACGAGAGCATCGTGTCGGCCTTGTTGAGCCAAACGTTCTCGCCCTCGGGATGGAACGCTCCAAGCATCTCCAGGTCCAAGAACCGTTCATCCTCTCCCTGCACGTGGCCAAACTTGAAGATGAAGGTGAATGACGAATGACATGACTGATGACAAATGAACTGCACTGGGCTGACGACGAATGAACTGACGACAAGAGCAACCCCAAACAACGAAAGCGGTGTGGCGCCTCCACCGGGTCAGGGATGAACGCAATGTACGCCATCGGGGCCATCGCGGAAGGTGAGAGCGAATGCGAGGGGAAACATGAATGCCACGTATGCCATCAGGAACTGCAGTGTGGAAATGTGAAGTACAGCAACTGTGCAACTATGTTTGGGGTTTCATGTTTGTTTGTGCACTTTGGGCATGACTCAAACTTGGAAAGAAACGTGAGCAAGTGCCACAGCATTGCTGATTATGCTTTATCCATTGAGTCATTGGCAAACATGGTGTATCATATCGTTGTGTTCACATCTGACTGCATTTGCAAGTGGTTGCCACAATACATTAAGATCATTTCACTGAGCCCGAAACGGTTTAAATGCATGGATGCGCATGCAAGTTGTCCCAGACACTTGACAAAGGTTAGCGCTTGAAGTGCAAACATCTTCCTTTAGTGCACACGGGTGCGCATGCAAGTTGTTCCAAAACACTTGACAAAAGAAAGTGCTTGAAGTTGAAACACCTTCTTTAGTGCACCTGTGTGCCATCTGTGTCAGTGTGTCCATGTGGGTGTGTACC